TTATACGGACTTGTTCTTCCGAGCAGCAAGAGGGATCAAATATTTCGTAGCTGCAGGGAGGCATTACTGTACCAGACTGAGGCTGCTAACCATACCGTGTAACTGCAGCTATGCCAAATAAGTGAGGCAGTGAGACTTTTTTATCATTTCACCAGATATTACAAATTTATTGTGAATTTATTCAGGTCTTAAACAGAATTGAGGTATTTTTTCCCCTCTCAGCTATACACACCATAGGGTCTTGCAAAGAACCAAGCAAAAGTTGATACTCCTGGAGTTGCATGAAAAAAGTGCTATCCATCTTGGAATTGTGATGGCCTTCATCGTGATTATCATTATTTACTATTTATCTTATTGTCGTGCCTGCAAACTACACAAAAGGATTGAGATCCTTTTGTGGTAGAAAGCATTCAGAATACAGAAATTTCTCCGAAGATCTATTTTCAGCCAATAGAATGACAGCAGAAAGATGGGACTGCACAAAAAAGGAGATTGTGAAACAGGTCAGCATGATAAGAGTCAACACTTAATAGTAAACCAGAAAGAAACTAATACGTGTGGATAAAATGATGAATCCTCTTGACTTTAAGGCAAAATACTAGAAGTAATTTGGATTTATCTGAAGCAATGTATTTATTTTAAGTATATTTCTATGTTAAGGCCTTTCTGGACCAGAGAAATTAGTTTAAATAGTAACAAATAAACAAATAAAAGAACTCTTCATGCTAAGAGAGCAGTAAAAAAGAAAAGGTCATGTATTTGTTTTCCATTTCCCCAATAGCTTCAATTTGTTCAGAAATGCAGTTAGCTTTGAGAGTACACTGGCTGAGAGTCATCTTTTAAGGTAATGAAGGAAAGATCATGATCAGCTTTGAAAATTAAAATGAATTGGTCTATAAATGTGCCATTACTTCAAAACCATGAGTCATTCTTATAGCTACTATATGTCCGCTCAGGTCACCTGCTGTTTTGACAAAGAACAGCACCATACGAATTACAAGTGAACAACTAACCAATTGCCTTTGATCGCAAAAATTGCAAGATAGTGAACAAGCTGACTTGGTGGTCTTGAAGTCATTCTGTAAAAATTAAATAATGGAGAGATAGCTTTGCCTGTTGTGTTAAGAGAAAATAAATTCTCACAAACAGTTTAAGATACGCTGCTGTATTTTTCAGGAAGCTGAAGTTGTGCTGGGGGAAGTCCTTTCAGTATTTGTCTCATGATGCTAACCAGCGTTGCTAAAAGGCGATCACATCAGTCTGGTCGTCCTTCAATGCTGCTGTTATTTTACTCATAGTGTGGATCATGAGAACTTGGTGAATTGAAACGCCACCGTATGCGTTTCAATTCTTAGTGTAGTGGGAGCTTTTTTTACCATTTGCTGGTCAAGAAACCTCCAGTTCCTCTTCTTAACCAGCTGTTACCTCATAGAGATCCACTAGATGTCCTCGTAGGTCTACTTTTTGTTACCGTTGAGGTCACAAGGAAAACTGCTATAGTAACGGGTGGAATAAGAGGACTGGGTAGACTGTATGGGTTTTTTTAAATTAAAAAAAAAATCAGCAAAGGTGAAGAGATACTTTGTTCTGCTTGCTTTAAAAAAAAAAAGGAGCTGTTCCTCGACATCTTAGATAGAGCATAATCTGCAGTTTCCTTTGCTTATTTTTGCAGCTGGAAATATTTCCCATTACTGTTTGTGAACTCTAAGCAACACCTCAGATCCAGACAATCTAGAAATTTTGACTGGACTTTCTGAGTTTTTGAGATCAGAAAGCAAGGTACTGCTAGAAGCTTAGACATCTAAGGCACATTCCTTCTTTACTAGAATAGAAAACTATTGCCTTCTGAGAAAACTTGCAACAAAAAAAGTTTTTAAAAGTATTTATTTTACTTTAAAAATAATGGACAGAAATTTTGCTTTCCTTTTGCTCTTAACAAGTCAGAAAATAACTAGTTCATACGTGCCTTGTTTTGTCAGTAAATTATTTAAGTAGTCTGATTTCCGTGACCATGATAACTTCCCCTGATATTTTTACTAATTCATTTTACAAATGCTGTGGGATTGTCATCATACTAGGTAGAAGGATCTGTTCTTCCTTTTTGTCCATTTGTTATTGAGTTGAAAATAGGAAAGTAATTTCCTTTGTGTCCCAAGTTACATTTTCACTAGTTGCAAATAACAGTTCTATTACACATCCATAACAGTCATATGAATAGAAATTAGTTGATTCTTATGCAGGTGCTACAGGTGTCAAATGAATTTAACACCCACCCAAAGGCTGTTCTTAAGGTCCCCCTGTGTCTCTGCGGATTCCCATTTTTCGTTAATGTTTATGGAAGTTTTATAGGAAAAGGTATGTGTGTGGCCGAACCATTTAAAATCATTTCTGTCTTGTCTTTGATCTTGTCACTAGTCATCCCTACTAATAATCCATGTTTTGTTTTATTTAAAAGAAAAGAAGTATTGTATTTGGTATGAATGTAATAATGACTGTATAATAGGAATGAAGAGTAACAGCATGTTTTCTTTCCGAAATGTATTGCTCTGATATGCAGTTGCTTATATACTGGTTGAAATCCTTATAGCAAGTCCTTTCTGCTACTTGTATTTCCAGGTCCAAGCCTGTTTCCTGCATGTTAATGATGTGAAATATTAAAATGATGCATGATCTCCAGAACAACTGATAATAATAGTTAAAAACAGTCCCTGAAAGGGCATTGCTTTTGAGAAGCACCGTGGAGTCCTTGCCCTGTTGAACAGAAGGGCTTAAATTTCCCACTTCATTGGTTTATATCTGATGAAAATGGTACAAAAAGTTTTCCTTCCCAACCCTCTTTGCCCTTAAGGATGATTTCTTTTAATTTTCATAAATGTGTCCTATCCTATTATTGACTGTTGACAAGATATGGCTACAAGTAAATGAAAAGCAGGGACTGTTACTAACCAATGACATAGCAGTTGACAATTTCTGAGCAGTGTGTTTTGCTACAGCATTTGATTAGAAAAAAATCCTTCAAAACAGCTATAATTAAAACAAAATGGGCCTGCCTTTTACCTCGCCTACTGTTAGTGTGTCTCACAAATGCCCTTTATTTTTCTTTTATATCCTTAAAGTGAAAATAATAAAATAGGCGTAATGGAAAGACTTCCACATTTTTGGTAACATATTTCACTTTTTGTTTTCTGCCCAACTTTTCAACTTTAAAGAATGTGTTGGGAAGAGTTAGACAGAGGGAAACCATGGGAAAACAAATGCTGTTTTGAATTTTCTGTGTAGTTTGAATGTGTATGCATCAAAAGCTGCAGTGGAAACCTTCTTACTAAAAGCCAAGCTCTGAGGAATGATGTACCATGCAATGAACAAGCCTGATGCTGCATGATGACTTTCTGAACAGCTGTAAGATAACCCTACTAGGATGCTAAAAGAACATGGCATTAGTCATGTGAGCAAAGTTTTAGAGGAATGGAGTCGCTGCTGAAGAGATCACTCATTCATCTCCCTCAATGCCTGTTTTCCACAATCATAATGTTACCCTTGCTTGACAAGTATACTGTATGGCAAGTCATCAAGGCCTTAGAACAGGACTTGACCCATTTGAGCGATTTCAATTCCTCTTCCCTGCTGACTGTGGCATTAAGAAACTGGAAAAAAAAAAAAAAAAAAAGAGAGAAATTATTTTAAATTTACTGTCATTACCATAATGCAAAAAAGACATCCTAAACTGAAGGTACAGGCCAGAGAAACATTACCTTGTTTCTGCATTTGCTTTTAAGGTTTTGTTTTTGCCTGTCAGTGTTTTGTTTTGTTTTTAGTATAATTGAGTCAGTTCAATCTAAACCATTACCAAAAGTGTTGGTTCAGTGCAACATGTGAAACAATCTAAGTGGCGTTTGCCTTTGTTCAGACTTAACATTCGGGTGACATACAAAATTTCATGATGGTAATTACACGTGCATTTATAAACTAGGATGCTGTATATATTTCGAAATATATAACAAGGACGTTCCCATGACTGAAGGATATACGTGTTCTGTTCTAACCTGGCACTCCTTTTGGAATTAGCCCCTAATTCTACGTTCAGTTATTTGGTTCTCGATCTGCCTTTGAATCCAGAGCAGAAAATATGCCAATGATTGGTTCAGCATGTTTCCATGGACCAATGCTCTGTGTGCTTTTGGTGATGCCTTATTTGTGAACTGATTTTAATGTCAAGCATATTTATCATTATTAGTTGTGTCTCTTATATGGGCAAATTTTGGTATTCTGTCAAGAGTTAATTTGCATTCCT